TAGTATGTGTTTCTAATATTTTAATACTGTAATATTAACTTTAACTGTTTAATATTGTAATAAGAGTAAGGCTGCTTTCACACCTGTAAATTGATTAATTTCTTCCGAAACAGGGATTACAATTGTTACATTGTTGCTCTTTGTTCTTGGTGCGGTTCGCTTTCACACGGCAAAGTTTCTAAACGGACCAAAATAGCTAAAACAAGTCATGTGTGAGTAAACTCTCCTCACATTGGTCAGAGTTTCATGGTTTATTTTGCAGAGTCCCGCTCAGATGTCAACGGGGTGGTGGTTTGGTGGTGTTTGACAGGGTGCACGCGACGTGTCTGAATAGTGAGGAGGGATGTGGTGGGGAGTAGGAGAATGGTACGCAACGTATTTGAGGACCGGGAGGGAGTCTTGCGAATTACGGGAGATTATCATTTGTTTGCGGGCATCTGAGAGTCTCTGTGCATTTGCGGATAACTCCTGGAACTTCCAGCCCTACTCATAATTCTCTCTTCATATAGCCAGTATTTCATTACATATCCATAAAATACTGATATAGCCGGGCTCGGATCATATCACTTTTTCACTACAATCGATCCACTCCAGAGTTTCTTTCAATCGAGCCGAGACCACCTCAATCAGGCGATCTCTGACCGGTTGACTTAACGCGAGACAGGTTCCGAAAAAAAAAGTCTAGGTGTGAAAGCACCCTAAATAAACGTTAGACAATTTTGGTGTTATAATGTTTGATTTAGGTGTTTGTAATATTTTATGTTATATTAATGAGCATAATGGACCAACATTAATTCTTCTACATTTAAAAGAAATATTATGAGTGTAGAATACATAGATCTTGGTGCTTTTAACAGTTTGGACTTATTTTAATGTATGCTAAAATGTTCCATTGGTTTCTTTTTGGTTTGAGTCATTTATTTTGCACTTTATCGTGAGTTTTTAACACAGAGTGTTAAAGGGGAATACTAATTTGCAGTTTAATATCTTGGTGATTAATAATGAGAATTTGGAGCTGTTGGTTTATTTACCATAGTGCTGCATTTTGTGTCTATTTCCCATTGGATTCAACAGGATTCAACATGGTTTGCTGGTCTCACTTTCTTCCAATTGATCTTCACCTGTCTGATTATGCAATGTAAGATATATTTACACATAATTGTATTATTCAACATTTTCATCAACTATTTTTAAAGATTGTGATTTGATTGACCTCAAGGACATTCAACACAATTCATTCAGGTTGTCGCAACACAAATCGATTAAGTTAACTTAACAAATTTAAGTGGATTATCGAACATAAAACAATTAAGTTGTCCAAAAAATCTTAGATGAGATGGATGAGAATCAGCACCTCCAAGTCTGAGGCCGTGGTGCTCCACCGGAAAAAGGTGGCTTGACAGGTTGGAGGAAAGTCCTTACCCCAGGTGGAAGAGTTCAAGTACCTTGGGGTTTTGTTCATGAGTGACGGAAAGATGCAACATGAAATTGACATGCGGATTGGTGAAGCAGCAGTAATGCTGTATCTGTTGATGTATCGATCTAATGTAGTAAAGTAGGAGCTGAGCCAAAAGACAAAGCTCACGATTTACCGGTGAATCTACGTTAATACTCTCACCTATGGTCATGACAAGATCTTGGATACAAGCAGCCGAAATGAGTGTCCTTTGCAGGGTGGCAGGGCGCACCCTTATAGATAGGGTGAGGAGCTCTGTCACCTCAGAGGAGCTCAGAGTAGAGCCAGAAAAGTAAGCTGAGGTGGCGCAGGCATCTGTTTTGGATGCCTTCTAGACACCTGCCTAGGGAGATGTTCCAGTCATGTCCCATTGGGAGGAGGCCTTGGAGAAAAGACCCAGAATACGCTGGAGGGATTATGTCTCTCAGCTGGCCTGGGAACGTTTCAGGATCCCGCTGGAGGAGCTGGAGGAAGTGTCTTGGGAGAGGGAAGTCTGGGGTTTTTTTCTGAGACTGCTGCCCCTGTTACGCAGCCCCGGTAAAGAGGATGAAAATGAAAGAAAAAATCTAAAGAATTGTGTTGTTTCAGCTCAATTTAAATGAGCAGATTGAACAAGCAGCAACAAATGTTTTTTTTTATTATTGTTAAGGTCTGATAAAAGATAATTATCCATTAATTAAATTTGCCTTCAGCTCTTTTATTAGCATCTGTAGCGCCACTGAACTGTTCAGAACCAACAACAAAATCACTCCTGATGGCCATAAGAGAAGAAGTCATCGACTACAGCGACGCAAGACCAGTTATAAGTCTGAAAACCCCCACAAATGTCACAGTGGACTTGACTCTGTATGGAATATTAGGAGTGGTGAGCAATTCTAATTACACCTGCAACTTAAAAATGATAAAAAGGCATTTATATACTATTAAATGCTACTCTTTATTCTATTAAATGGTGCACATGCATCTATTTTCCCTTTTAGAATGAAAAATCGCAGGTGCTAGAAACATATCTGTGGGTGAGAACGGTAAGAGTGAATGCATGCAGTCCCATTCAGGCTATGTTTAGTGTAAATGTACAAAAATTTGTCCAAAGGTTAGTTTTCATTGGTCGTTTCTGTTCCAGATGGCCTGTAAAATCTGAAAACGGGGTAAAAATCAGATGAGGGTTTTTCTTTTTCTGGATTACTTTTGAAAATTGTTGGTTAGGTTTAGGGAAGCAGGTGGGTGGGCGTTAAGCCGCCTTTCCACTGCACACGACTGTCGAAATACGCCCCCTTGTGGCAGCCGCACAGTATTTTCAGTGTTGTCGTGCACCACGGGGTAGAAGCTGATTCTCACGGTGTCCGAAATAAAAGAGAGCAAATGCAAGAGCCTTTATTCTCTGTGCGTTTACATAGTTTAATGGATGAATGAATACTAGAAACTCATAGACCGCTACAATATTGGAGGGAATGTGGAGACAACATTAAAAATATATATTTTTATTTCTTACTTACATTAATGAACAGAAAAGTTATTTTTTTTAAATAACCAAATAAACTCCTATTTCTCATCTCGCGCTCACAGATCTGCTTGGACAACACTGGAATACATCATATCCGGTCAGCCGGTCGCATACGGTCTAGTCGCAGGAGTTCAAATATTTCAATGGATCCGCAGCTCAAGTCGGATCCGAATTTTCCGCATATGGAGATGATCGGAACTCAACGCAGATCCCGGACTGCTCTCCATTGGAAATGAATGACTTCCGGTCTGTCGCTTGTCGTTTGTCGTGTGCAGTGGAAAGGCGGCTTTAGTCAATCAATAAAATTAGTTGGGTTAAGAGAAGGAGGAGGGTGGGTCAGTCAGTCACTCGGTCAGTCAACAGCGGCCTCTGGTGGGTTTATTTGGGAACTCCAGGCGCTAATGGCACTCGCAAGAGAAATTTGAGATCTTAAAAAGAGACATACAGCACACAGCGACCTGTAGTGGGTTCGCAAAAACTGTAAAAAAATAAAATAAAATAACATGCCTTCTGGGACGTATTACGCAGTCTCCCATAAATGTGTATAGAGGTACATTTTCAGAATGAGCCTTGGTTGAAAATACAAATTTAAATTATAAACAAAATTCAAAAGACCAATAGAAAACAACCACAACGATGCCAAAAACATGAGTGTTTCTTAGTGTTGAATATTGAGAAACTATATAATTATACTTAAATGAATTCAATGACACTTCAGATCGTTGTATTGAATTCCACTAATGTGATGATTACTGAAGCTTCAGTTTAAGTGCTTAGCTGATATGATTTTAGTTTGTTGTTTGTTTGGTAGAGGTGGCAGATTGAAGGTCTGACCTGGGATCCTGCAGAGTGTGGAACAAAAAAGATTTCACTACCAAGAGAGAAGATTTGGTTTCCAGACATTGTCATCAATGAGTTGTAAGTCGGATAAATTGCTTTGACTAATGATAACTAGTAGTAAATGAATGTTCATCAATTTTTTTTACCATTATAACCAGTATAGCCATATTTAGTTATGGGCCGATTTTTAGGGGTGTGACGAGATCTCGTGTCACGAGATTAAACCGTGATGAGATTTCTCGTTAAGGTGAAAAGTCTGCTAAAGTTTGAAAGCAATGGCGGGTTCAAGTTTAACACATACACTAGGGCTGCACGATATTGGAAAAAATTTACATTGCGATATTTTTTTTCCTGTGATATATATTGCGATATTTATATATATATATATATATATATATATATATATATATATATATATATATATATATATATATATATATATATATATATATATATATATATATATATATATATATATATATACTTTTGCACACATTACATACAGTATCACTGTTTTATCTGCTGCACCACTGACTGTAAAATTCTTCCACAAAGAAGTGACAGGAAGCTATGCTAAGGTTAACTAGCTTAGCATATATCTTGCTGTCTGCAAATGACAGTAATTTAAATGTACCATAAAACTCCTATAAGTGCATACAATTCGACACAACTACACAAGCTACGTTTTAAACTTTATAATCGAACGTTAACGTTACTGTCAACAGTCTATTGTCTTAATTACCGCGCTAACAGAGCTAACTTGCGTAAACAGAGAGCAACAGATTGCAGACGTCAATAATATATATATATATATAAACATTTTTGCTTTACATCGCAGGAGGTATACACATAATACATAATATACACTGAAAGAAAGATTGCAAACAATATTGATTATTATATTATAAATATATGTAAGCGTGAATATGTGATTATGGTACTCAACACTTTTTGAGGCTTGTAAATGCATGTCTCGTGTTAGTTGTTTAGCAAAAATGTTTAGTGTTCAATATATGAATGCAGTACTTACAAGTTTGAAACAACAGGAGGGCAAGTAATTAATGACAGAATTTACATTTTTAGGTACCTTCCTAAACACGCTCTATGCCATTTCATAACTACTTCATAACTACTAACCTGCTTCCGCCCCATGATGGGTAAAGGCTATTTTTAACCCACCACCCTCAATCGTTTTGCAGCATGGACGAAAACCGAGCACCAGACACATATTACGTCTATGTGACCTCCACTGGTCAAGTGATCGATGGACGGCCATTTCACATTATCAGCTCCTGCAAGCTCGACATCTACACCTTCCCGTTTGATTTTCAGAACTGCACATATACTTTCAACTCCTACAAACATTCTCGTGAGTAAGAAAAATGGAAAAAAGCAGGTTCCTGTTTGACTGTGTGTGATCTATTGTACCTTTCTACTTTTCCACAGGTGATGATGTTCAGCTGTTCTTCTATAAGCCAGTGAAGGACATCTTCAAGGAGTCTCTTGATTTAATGACAACGAAAGGAGAGTGGGAGCTGATAGACATGCTGGCTGAGAAACCTGTATACAGCTTTCTGGAAGGAGCTTGGGATAACCTCATTGTTCATGTTGGTGGCATTTTAAATATCGAGGGAAATTTGGAGTGTGTCCTCGCTGCAGCCTGTAGCACTATGACGTAGTGGATCAGGTCCAGTTGTTGCTAGAAACTATAATTATTTATATTATTTATTAAATTACCCTGTACATTGTGTTTTATTACCGTCTACACCTATCCTTAAACCCAACCATTCCAGTAGTATTGGCGTTACCATAGTGGGTGTTACAATGTCCACTTTGTATTGGACCTGATCCAGTACATCATCGTGCTACAGACTGCTGTGAGGACATCTTGGAAATTTGGAGGAAAATCATGAAGTGAGAATTGTCATTAGGTGGTGGGAGGAAGGTAGGCGAAAAGACAAAAAAAATTACGTTACATAGTAAGAAAACTATTTTGACTTATCAAAACATTACAGGCGAACAACTTTTCTGACAGACAACATAAAAAGAAGGTAATAAAAATAACAGAACCACTGATTGGGGTGGTTCCCAATTTTCCAATTGACACTTGCCTCCAAGTCTCTCACATTATTTAAAAAATGTTTATATTAATTTCTTATTGACTTATTTACATGACTTGCTGACTTCACTAGCTTACAACATAAAGATAAGAATTATTTTCTGACAACATGAAACAATGCACATCCAGACATTCCAAGTTGGGACAATTCATTTCCGGGGGTGACAGAGCAGATATCCCAAGTTGGGAAAAGTTTATTCCAGGGGGATACAGAGTTGATTTGCGGGAGGTAGCGGGAGAGTGGGTGCCTGAAAAGCGGGGGGTGGGGTGGGGGTGTTGGATTGAGTGAGCAACATATCTGAGTAGAGGCGTCCGTGCCTGATGTACCTGAAGAGCGTGGGGGTGAATTGCGCGCGACATACCTGAAGAACGGTGGGGGTGAATTGCGCGCGACATACCTGAAGAGCAGTGGGGGTGAGTTGCGCTCGACATATCTGAAGAGCTAGGAGGGATGCAGTGGAGAGGGGTGTGCAACGTATTTCAGGAACGAGCGGGAGACCTGGGATGTCTGACAGAGATGATCTGCGAGAGGTTGCGGGAGAGTGGGTGCCTGACGAGTGGAGGCGGGGTTGGGTATTTGAAGAGCAGTGGGGGCATGTGCACGCAACGTATCTGAAGAGCGATCGGGACGTGTGCGTGCGATGTACCAACGTATGTAAGGACCGGGAGGGATCCGCGCAATTTCTGGGAGATTATCATACGTTTGCATGCATCCGGGAGTCTATGCATTTGTGGGAGACTCCCGAAACCTCCGGGAGACTTGGGATGTCTGCACATCTTGAAGACAACAGCAAACATATTGTAAAACATTGTACAGAAATTGAAATATTTGCCAATTTTTTTATAATGGGGAATGAATAAGGATGATTCTGTGCACAATGTGTAACTGCAAAAGGGAAAATTCAGTAATCAAACATATGTTTCTGATTTAAATATTTGACGATGATTGCATAATTTTACTGTTTGACATGTTGGTTTTAAAACAGCTGTCAAATAAAATGTCTAGCTGCTAATATCTTAAAGACCGTTAACATATCACATCATAAAAATTGAGGCGCATCACTTTGTCGACCAATTTAAACCTGTTAGCGTTTGCACTCCCATTACATTTGTCTTTCTTGGCAACCATCAACCGTTTTCTCAGGGGATGAAAAACTGACAAACCCTTGCTGCAGCTCTGATACAAGTTTTATTTATGGAGAAATTTACAAAGTGCTGCAATGTTCGGGAGCTCTGCATTTGTCTGAGATAATAAGTCTATCATTATTAATAAAATGCGCATTTTCCAAAGAAAGTTTAAAGCTAAAGGTCAGTTCTTGTCACGTGACTCGCAGTGCGCTTGCACCATTCTGAAACGTTAAGACATTTTCAGCTAAGCGTGCCTGGAAAACACACCAAGTTGAAGTATCTGGTCTAATCCTAATCGCTCTTGTACCTCCACTGAAAATAATGAACTTGGGCACCAAATGTGATCGGCCCCTAAAACTGCACCTTTTCAGAGTTGAAATCTAAAGTTTCTTGCTGAGGTACTTTTAGCTTCTGTGAGCAATAATGTCCTCATTCAAGCTCATTCTAAAGGCTGGGACACATCAAGCCCACAGTCAGCCATTGGGCTTTGTCAGTCTGGCTAGTTGGTTTTGGTGTTTTCCAGACGTCACTTCTTGTCGGCTTAACAGTGGATCATGTCAGCCCGATTCAGCATGTAGAATCTGCATCAGACCGTCGGCTGTAAAGAGTGCTCTGACTGGTTATTCGGCAATGAATCAGACAGAGTGAGTGTGAAGTAGTAGGAGAAAACACAGCTTCCCGAGAAACATCCTCAACAATATTCTCGTTTCAAGTGCATGTATCTCACACTGAATGTGTTAGAGTTCTCAGTCCTGTTATGTCTGCTACTATTTACACTTGACAAATACTAATGTACAGTTCTCACCATTGTGGTCTAGATTGTCTTGAGACGACGAGCTACGCTGTATGTCGTGAACCTCCTGATTCCCAGCAGCTTCCTGCTCTCCTTGGATATCTTCAGCTTTTTACTGCCTCCTCAAACCGTGGACCGTGCTTCCTTCAAAATGACCCTCATCCTGGGTTACACTGTCTTTCTGCTGCTAATGAATGACCTTCTGCCTGTCACAGGAAACAACTTGCCTCTTATAAGTATGTTATACTAACCTTCTTCATCACTACTTTTAAATTATTTCATCTTGACCATGCTAAGAAGACCAGAAAGTCACCAGCACATGTTTACCTTAATGTCAAAACGACATCAAATTGATATCAAACATGACGTCAAAAAGTCAAAAATGCAAATTGATTCGATGTCAAAGCCTTGACATCCATTTGCATCAACACATTGAAGCCCTTTTGACCACCAAAATAATGACACGAACCCTTTTATAATATAAGAAATGTTTCAATCATCTGAAAGCTTCCGTTTCAAATGACAAATCTGCATTTGTAAACTACCTTGGTGTCAAAACGCCATCATATTGACACCAACTTTTTTGCAAAAGCTAGATGCCAGTTGACATCAAATTGATTTACATTTGTGACATCTTTTTACTTGTCAAAGCAAAAACAACAAGGTGCCAGCTGGGTATTGCAGCAATCTACTCAACTAAAGTGTAACCATGTTCACTGCTGCTCTGCAAACGCTCACATACAAATTCCAGTCATTTCAATAGGAATCCAAGGTTTTAAGTGAAGTTTATTTATAAACTAATTTGAGAGGAGCACGCGCTTATGATTGATAGCACCTGGTCCACATTAGCTAATGCTGTAATATAACCGCGCTCGGATCGTATCGCTTTCTCACTACAATCGAACCGCTCCTGGGTTCGTTTCAATCAAGCCGAGACCACCTCACTCAAGCGATCTCTGAGCGATTACTTTGGCGCGGAACTGAGCGCAATTGCCCTGTTCACATATGCCAAACGAACAGCGCTAACTGGGCAAACGAGATACGTTCCGAAACAAAAGTGTAGGTGTGAAAGCACCCTAAGAGTGTGTTACACACAGAATGAGAGGCCCATTTCATTTCAACTTGTCTTTTCCATGAGTTTGCGCACACTGACGGTGTCATTCAGTGTCCATGGCAAACATAAAACAATGTAAATACGTAATTTACCGCATTGCCACTTCTAGTGGAAAAGACCTTTTTCAGCGAGATTATTATAAAACTGTTATCTATCTAACCCCACTTATGGCAACACAAGTTGTTGGAGTCTTCAAAAACACTATAGTATCACTTAGCCTTTCCAAACTTCAACTTAAAACTTAGCCCTCAAACAAAATATGACAAAGAACTTTACTTGAAGTAAGCACAGTAGCTGAGTGGTTAGCACTGTCGCCTCACAGCAAAAAGGTTGCTGGTTCGAATCCCAGCTTGGCCAGTTGTCATTTTTGTGAGGAGTTTGCATGGTTTTCCCATGTTGGCATGGGTTTCCTTCGGTTTCCCCTACAGTCCAAACACATGCTTTATAGGTGTATTAATGAAACTAAATTGACCATAGTGTGAGAGTGTATGGGTGTTTCCCAGTACTGAATTGAGGTTGGAAGGGCATCCACTGTGTAAAACGTATACTGGAATAGTTGGTGGTTCATTCTGCTGTGGCAACCCCTGATAAATTAGGGACTAAGCTGAAGGAAAATGAATGAATTAAAGTATACCAGAGCCTTAAAAAATACTGTGTGTTTGTCTGAGTTAGCAAGAGTAACGAAGGGGAAGAGGCTCGGGTAGGTCAATTTTGTGTACAATTTACCTGACTGAGCAATGTTTTTGGAAACTGCAGCCAAGGATTCAAATCTGATCAATCTTCATCTTCAACTTTATCAGATCTGATCATTTTCTCTCGATCTAGATGTGTTTTTCTCGATGTGTTTGGCCCTGATGGTAGCAAGTCTTCTTGAGACTATCGTCATCACCAATGTCCTATGTGGCTCCCGTAACTTTCCTCCCTTACCAAAGTGGCTCAAGATTCTGGTCCTGAAATATATGGCTCGGCTTGTTTGTATGAGGAAGTCTTCTGATAAACACTCTGAAGGTAAGACTCCTTTCGGCAGCCAAGATCTGGATGAATTCACACTGGATTTACTGGTATGGATTTAACACAGGAGTTCATATCACTGGTGTGAAACATACTTTCCAATGGTTGTCTTGTCCCCTTTTTTTACAGCCAACAGATCTGAGCCAACTCTCTACAAAAACATGATGACCAATGTTCCAAAGAAAGAGCAAGTCAGTGCAAGTCCAGTGACACTCTCGGACTTATATCTAGAAGAAATGAAGAAGATAAGTACTGATCTACTGGCCATCCGACACCACATTGAAGAGCACTTCGATAACGACAGCAGCTCAGATGAATGGATGGTGTTTGCTCAGGTCCTTGACCGCTTGTTCTTTATGCTGTATATGATTTTTGTCGTTGTGAGTTTAAGCACAATTATGTTTCTGTGGCTTCACTCGTACAATCTAGACAAAAGGTCTTAGTATGTTACGCTTAGGGTTGGGTATCATTTGGGATTATTTCGATGCCGGTGCTAAATCGATACCTTGCAGGAGTTCACCCTTATGCCTAGTTCAGACTGCGTGATTTTAGCCCCGATTTTGGCTCGCCGACAAGTTTTGAGAAATCGCAGACAAATGCCTGAAATCACAGGCAAATCGCTGCTCGTGCACGTGAGTTACAATCACACATTATGAACTATCAAAGACGCGATCTGAGAGAATCGCCGATGAGTCGCCGATGCCTGCGAGATATTTGGCATGCTAAATATCTGGAGCTGTGGGCAGTGGCGCCCCCAGAAAATTTTCATAGGGGTGGCCAGAAGAAGCCACAGCAAATCTTGGGGTGGCACACAAAAAAAAAATGAATTCAGTGTAATGTTATATTTTTGTTTCTGGTAAATTAAATAATGTGATTTTAATTAATTTAAATAATTAGTCTTACAATATCGCAATTTATTCCTTGAAATAATTCAGCAAGTACATGTGCAAACCAAATAAAAATCTATATTTGGTTTAAAAACACTTTTCATATATAGAAATAACTTTTCAGTTATTTTTCACATACATTTATTGTACAGCATACAGTATATGCCATGTCTAAAATTAATTGAGATTGAGTTAAATAATAAAACAAATGAACAAACTGAACAAAAGGCATTACTATATATATACACACACACACTCACTATACAGACCCTAATAATATAATCTATATCCCTTTTTGAGCCACTTTATTAATGCAGCTTCTTCTATTGATGTACCTTAAGGTAAATATTACATAGCCATTACTGTCTATTGTGTGTGTGTGTGTGTGTGTGTGTGTGTGTGTGTGTGTGTGTGTGTGTGTGCGTGTGCGTGCGTGCGAGCGCGCGCTGTCAATGACGATCAGGGAGGGCAGTGGTGGTTCTAGTTTAGACGACACCCTGGGTGAACCACCCCATATACCCACCCTCCCTAAATAGTTACATTTATTTTTCAATAAATATAAAAATTTACTTATATTTATTTTAAATAAATACAATTAATGTTAATATTATTATTATTCTAAATAAACAACAGACATCAATCCTAAATGTTACTGGAAAACAATGTAACAGAGTGATATGCTAAGATCACTTATAGGGAACCTTTTGCATGAATATTAGTTATGACAATTCTATAGAATACAAAAATATGTGTTTTATCTGTGGTCTTAGACCCGAATTATGGCCAAGAAAAAATGTTATGAAGTCTTACGTCCCTGACTCTTTATCCCTCCTTTCTGCTTTATAGACATGCTTAGTGAAAGTATCATCATATATAAACTTTAGTTTTGTCGACTTTCAAAACTAAACACCTGGCACCTCTTCACAAAAGGCTTTCTCCGGTTTCACGGCGCATGAGCGGCGCGTTTTTTATCAGCGTGCATGTAAACAACCGGGATTCACACACGAGCGCGTGAGCCACACGGGAATGGTTTTCTGCGCGCACGCGTCAGTTTGCTTTCACCAGCGTTGTTTCGGTTGCACATAGAGAACGCGTGAAAAAGATGTGAACGGCCCTTAATGTCTTTATTCTGGAATTGCCACTCTAAGTTAACACACGTGCATAAAGTAAATAGTATCCCAATGCTTTTACTAGGGGATGTTTTTGTTGCATTAAAATTAATAATATCAACAGCAAAATCATATTGGGGTGGCCACAGGGGTGGCCAGAGTTTACCCAGGGGTGGCCATGGCCACCCCTGGCCACCCCTTGGAGGCGCCCCTGGCTGTGGGCGATTCAAATCATGCCGTGTGAATTGAGTTTTGACTGAAAATAACATCAGCAATCGCCTACAGCCAATGAGAGAGCTGCATTCACTTGCGTGTTCGTGTGTGTATACCTGCTGCCGGCCAGCGGGAGGCTGGGGGAGAAGTTAAAAGTGCTCTTTTTCGGTTTATTTGGACCCACGAAATGGAGGAAAAACTAGTGGAGGTTTGACAGGACTCAGGAGCAACCGTGTCTGTTTGACGTTTCATACAGAAAGAAATTAGTTTATTATTAACGTTGAGGAGAAATGGCTAATTCCCTTTAAACCCAGGTGAGCAAACATGTACATGTTCTACCCCATTAAAGGCTTCTTTCTCATTATGTAGTCAATAACAAAAGATATACTGCGTGTTTTTGGCTGTGAGACGTAGTTTGGACGAAGTTGTCGGCGATTCTTCCTATAGTAAAGTCATGCAATGTGAATGTCCCTGTCGCCGATCCATCTTGCAGTGTAAACAAAGCAGCGACGAATAGCTAGCCCAGATAGTCACACAGTGTGAAAACATCTGTGACATGACTACTTTAAAAATCATGCAGTCTGAACTCGGCATTAGCGGAAAATCAATTATAGAGCATGTTTGTCATGCTGTCCCAGGAGAGAGCCCTGAGCTCATGAGATCCTCGAGCCCGGGGGTTTGCATGCTCTCCCTGTGGGTTTCCTTCGGGTGCTCCAGTCTCCCCTACAGTCCAAAGACATGCGGTACATGTGAATTGGGTAGGCTAAATTGTCTGTAGTGAATGAGTGTGTGTGGATGTCTCCCAAGGATGGGTTGCGGCTGGAAGGGCATCCGCTGTGTAAAAACCTGCTGGATAAGTTAATGGTTCATTCCGCTGTGGCGACCCCAGATTTTTAAAGGGAATAAGCCGAAAAGAAATTGAATGAACGTTTTTCTATTATTAATATTGTTCCGGCCAAACTTAAAAAAAAACCTTGAGGTAAACTAAATAAATATGTGTATGAAAATTAGTTACTGGTTTCGTGTTTGTCTTTTTAAAGTGTTTACTGTGAGTTAATCCCTGTGGTTGTATGTTCCATTTGATTACTGAAATTAATATATTTCAATATGTGTGACTAAAAGAAGTCACCAGGAAATGCTTAAATCTGATCTAATTTCAATTCTAAACCTAGAAAACATACTGAAAATAGACACAACAACAAATACATTAATGGAGATTTGAAAAAAGAAACCGTGTCAACATCTTGAGCATTATAAAGGCTCAAGTGAAAATCTGGTGTTTTTCCTCTAATTAAAAGTGTGGCACTGAACATGTTTTTTACATCTACTGGAAAAACAAAATCACTAATGAAATCAGCCAACGCTATTAAAACGAAAAAGGTCACTGGTTATCGAAGGTGTGAAACAACATGTAACTGTACATGACGGTGCCAGAGATGAATAATCACATTTTAGCTGTGGAAGTAAGCAGTGCGATTTAAACTTCAGCAGTTTTAACCAAAAGGATATCTCCTCAGTGGATTATGAGACGTCTATGGCATTTTCTTTTGGCTTACTTCATTCTGCTTACAGGTAAAAATGCTTTTTATTATAAAGATATTTATACTTTAATCAGTTTATGCTTTGTTTAAAACAAAAAATGAAATACCTACAGGGATTCGGCACTTGTATTTAAGTTAGTTTTATTTTAAAGCAGGCTGAAAGAAAGCCTATGGCGAGAGGTATATATTTGTACTTTATATCCTCAAATATGCATGTTTCTTAAAAGAAACCTTTTCAGTGTTTAGCTAGATAAATAAATAAATTAACAGCTGAAAAATTAAATAAAATGACCTCAAAACATTTTTAATGAACACATTAAACTTAAAAAAAAAAAAAAACAAAGGGCTGTCTGTATGAATTTGTTTTTACTCATCTCATTTGGTGAACATTTTGCCATAATTATAAATGCCGGTGTTCCCTATTTTCCCAACATTAAAATAACATTCTTATCTTTATCATCTTTATACTGCAGAGCATAAACTTTAATTTCTTACCTCAAAACTTTCTAAAGAGCCTCAATCCTGCTGCCATCTCAATATGGACTTGGGATGATATTGATTTCATCATTCCTCATGCTGCACGATTTGTTTAATGATTCAAAGATAACTATAGAAATTATAACATTGATTATATAGGCTAATGTTAAATGAAAAGGAATGTTTTTTTTTTTTTGCCGATGAACGACTGGCAGCCAATCAGAATCCACCCTGCTGTGAAGAGCGCCAAATTTAAAAGAACTGAAACTGATTTTCCTGCTGATAAGCGATTGGCAGCCAATCAGAATCCGCTCTGCTGTAAAGAGCGCCAAATTTAAAGCGACAGAAACGGGTTTTCCCGCTGATAAACGATTGACAGCCAATCAGAATCCGCCTAGCTGTAAAAAGCGCCAAATTTAAAGGGACTGAAACGTTTTTTTTTTGTTGTTGTTTTTTTTACCTGATGAACAATATGTTGACAGCCAATCAGAAATCAGTCTGCTTGAAAGTTTAAATCGGCCGAGGAGCAGGTATGGACGCCATGATTATCCTTAAATGTTATATTTTAATTGTTTATGTTCAAAAATCCTTAGGAAAATGTTTTTTTTTTTTTTTTTGATTGCTTTTTGAATAACCACACTTTTACTACAATAATATGCCATGATTAAACTATGATTAGAGTAGCAAAACCATGGTTAACCATGTTGTAAAACCACTTTTTGTTGTTTTTTGGAACAATTTTAAATAATGTAAACGGGTATGCAGAAGTATTTTCTATTTCAGCATTTGCACCAATATAAATTGTTAATAAACATGAAAACACACCAAATGAAGTCGCTAAGCCAGTTTTCCTGGTTTGTTGTGATATTTGTAGTGTCGCCATGTCTGGTGAATATGCTTCGATGTGAAGAAGGACAAAGTGGACCTTCGTATGAATCTTTGCAGGAAGTGATTAACCGGAAGTCCTTCAGACCTTCAATAAACCTCAACACCCCGACCATCACCAACATCTCCTTCACGCTCTATGCTATTTTGGGAGTGGTGAGTCAACACGGGACTAGCTCTAAGTGTCTAGTTATATACTAAAAATACACTAGAAGTGTGGTCTGTTTTGCAGAATGAAAAAGCGCAGATCCTTACCACATTCCTCTGGCTCAGACTGGTAGGTTTGGTGCATAAAAGATGTTTAAATAATTGCTTGACTATGACATTAACAATGTTTTTTAATAATGTTTGGTTTTAGTACTGGTTCCACGAGTTCCTCATTTGGGAGCCTGAACTCTGTGATGACATTACAAAGATCTCTCTTCCAGTCGCAGATCTCTGGACTCCTGATATCATCGTTTATGAGTTGCAAGTGTCCTTCACTGAGGACTTTTTTATTATACTGTGGAGAATAAATGTAGGCATTTCATTTATGTAAAGAGATGCTGTGTGAATGCACTAACCAAATGCATCTAATGTCTAAAGGGCATTCATTTAACAAATATATAAATAAATATACATGCATACATACAGTGGAAGTCTGAATTATTAGCCCCCTTTGATTTTTTTTTCTTTTTTAAGTATTTCCTAAAAGATGTTTAAGAGAGCAAGGACATTTACACAGTATGTCTGATAATATTTTTTCTTCTGGAGAAAGTCTTATTTCGGCTAGAATAAAAGAAGTTTTTAATTTTTTAAAAACCATTTTAGGTACAAAACTATTAGCACCTTTAAGCTATATATTTTCTCGAAAGTCTACAGAACAAACCATCATACAATAACTTGCCTAATTACCCTAGTTTGCCTAGTTAACCTGATTAACCTTTAAATGTTTTTTAAGCTGTATAGAAGTGTCTTAAAGAATATCTAGTCTAATATTATTTACTGTCATCATGGCAAAGAGAAAATAAATCAGCTATTAGAGATCAGTTATTAAAACTATTATGTTTAGAAATGTGTTGAAAAAAAATCTTCTCTCTGTAAACAAATTGGGGGGAAAAATAAACGGGGGGTGATTAATTCAGGGGGGCTAACAGTTCTGACTTCAACCGTATATTTATATATATTTATATATATATATATATATATATTATGCAATAATTTCAAATCTTGTTTTTGTCAATTCTTTAAATTTTCATATTTAATCCAAAAAAGGTATTTTGCTCTAAAGTACACGTTGAAAAATGCTCGACCTACAGTGGTGTGAAAAAGTGTTTGCCCCCTTATTGATTTCTTTTATTGATTTATTTTTCTTGGCAGCGCTGATGCGTACCTCTCAAAAAAAATGTAACTACACGTCGCAACGGCCTGTAGCGCAAGCTTTGTGATTGGTCATCTTGGTAGCGCTGACGAGTCTGGGCGGGACCGAGAGCCGCGCGAGCCCGATGGAGCGATTGTTTACAATTGTACAGTCTCATGAAGGAGCTCCGGATGGAAAGTTTTGTTTTGTGTTTACCTCATGGTTAAAGCTGTTGCACTTCCGCCTGTTCCTGCCTCAAAATTAGCGAGTTTGAGCCACTTGTACATTCAGGAACCGTTCCAAAAAAAAAAAAAAAAACACCAGCGAAGAAACATGACAAAGAGGAACATAAACACCTACTGCCAACTAGCGTTTCGGAAGTGCAGACCAACAGAAAAAGCGTGTAGAAAAAGCTACGCCCGTTACATGCGCCGTGGGTCACGACGAACACGACGCAGAAGTATAAACCAGGCTTAAGGGGGCAAACACTTCTTTCACACCATTGCATGTACACCATTTGTTTTTTAGATGTTAAGTGTTGCCACCTTGTGGAAAAACTAGGTTGTGTATTAAATACATATTTTCTTATACAAATTATAATCTACAAATGAGCCACACATATCCGGCCACAAAATGAATGTATATTTAAGTATATTCACTCATTTTCTTTCGGCTTAGTCCCTTATTTATCAGGGGTCACCACAGCAGAATGAACTGCCAACTATTCCAGCATTAATATTGGGTTTTCATTTAATATAGGCTAAAAGTGAAAATGTTTTTGTTTATTCTCTCTTCTTCTGTTTAGTGTGGATGATGATGTGTCTCAGGCCTGTCCTTACGTGTATGTGAACCACACGGGCCACATCCGCTACGACAGGATGCTGAGGCTGGTTAGCGCCTGTAACCTGCAGATCTTCAGTTTCCCTTTCGACATACAGAACTGCACCTTCACCTTCGGCTCCTACATGCACACCAGTAACAGCTCCGCCTCCATTGCATTGCATTGCCTTGTGTGTTTCTGTGAAGGCCCACTTAAACCTTTTAAAAGTGATGGAAGGGAAGTTAAACACATTTATTTCTCATTTTAAAAATGGCGAACTAAAAAATGGAAAATATTTTATTTTATTCAGCTTTGTTTTGCTTATTTTAAAATTACCCTTAAGAGAAATAGCCAACATTTCAAGGCAAGGCACTATAGATGAATAGTAATATATATATATATATATATATATATATATATATATATATATATAATAATAATAATAATAATAACTGGCACCATATTTCCCCAGTTGATTAATTACACTGTTAATGGTTTCCTGTAAAATCTACAGCAACTTACTGGTAGCAGTTGGCCTGTAAAATACTGCAGATCAATTACAGCAAAATACTGTATTTACATTTATAGCACCATTTATCTTGCTGCATATGAATTTACCAAATTGCATGTATATATTTACTGTAAAACAAGTAATTTTCACAATTTCACTTTAAAATACAGTAACTTATACTACATACACTAACTGGCCACTTTAATAGGTACACTTTACTAATACTAGGTTGGACCCCCTTTTGCCTTCAGAACTGCCTTAATCCTTCGTGGCAGAGATTCAACAAGGTACTGGAAATATTCCTCTGAGATTTTGCTCTATTTTCACATGATAGCATCACACAATTGCTGCAGATTTGTCGGCTGCACATCCATGATGTGAATCTCCCGTTCTACCACATCCCAAAGGTGCTCTATTAGATTAATACTGGTGACTGTGCAGGCCATTTGAGTGCGGTAAACTCATTGTCATGTTCAAGAAACCAGTCTGAGATGATTCACGCTTTATGACATGGCATGCTATCCTGCTGGAAGTAGCCATCAGAAGATGGAGACACTGTGGTCATAAAGGGATGGACATGGTCAGCAGCAATACTCAGGTAGGCTGTGGCGTTGAGACGGTGCTCAGTTGATACTAATGGACCCAAACAGTGGCAAGAAAATATCCACGACACCATTACACCAACACCACCAGCCTGAACCATTGATACAAGGCAGGAGGGATACATGCTTTCATGTTGTTGACACCAAATTCTGACCCAACCATCTGAATGTGGTAGCAGAAATGGAGACTCATCAGAGCAGGCAACGTTTCTCCAATCTTCTAGTGTCCAGTTTTGGTGAGTCTGTGTGAATTGTAGCCTCAGTTTCCTGTTCTTAGCTGACAGGAGCGGCACCTGGTGTGGTCTTCTGCTGCTGTAGCCCATCTGCCTCAAGGTTGGACGTGTTGTGTGTTCAGAGATGCTCTTCTGCAGACCTCGGTTGTAACGAGTGCTTATTTGAGTTACTGTTGCCTTTCTATCAGCTGGAACCAGTCTGGCCATTCTCCTCTGATCTCTGGCATCAACAAGGCATTTGCGCCCACAGAACTGCCGCTCACTGGATATTTGCTCTTTTTCAGACCATTCTCTGTAAACCCTAGAGATGGTTGTGCGTGAAAATCCCAGTAGATCAGCAGTTTCTGAAATACTCAGACCAGCCCGCCTGGAACCAACAACCATGCCCCGTTCAAAGTCATTTAAATCACCTTTCTCTTCCATTCTGATGCTCAGTTTATCTACATGCCTAAATGCATTGAGTTGCTGCCATGTGATTGGCTAATTAGAAATTTTCGATAACAAGCAGTTGGGGGGGTGTACCTATTAAAGTGGCCGGTGAGTGTATATTTAGCCTTTTCTCCATTTCTCACACAATTTTCACTCATAAACATGCATGTGTGCACCCTTGTCAAAACATTGAAGCTGGTTTGAAGTGACTTCTAACAGTTGTACAACTCTTCCAGTAAAGGACGTGAGAGTCAGTCCAGCACTCTCCTTTAAGGAGATGACCGAGAACTCCAAACGTTACCTGCAGGCCAGTGGAGAATGGGAGCTGGTGGTGATTTTGGGCGATGTGGACATTTTGAATTTTGGAATAGACGAATGGGACATCATCACTTTTTGGGTGAGGAAGAGTTAAAAATGGTTGTTAATAATAGCTTATTACATGACTCTCTGGAGTACTTGATTCTGATTGGTCAATCGCGACATCACAATGTATGTTGAATAAGGGATCGAGTACATCCAAGCGGTTGTTATTATAGAATAAAGCTTAATAGGTTTATCAGCAGCTTGTTGTATATGACTGAAGGGCTTTATTATGCGAGAAACATGCCTGGATGTACTTTATCCCGGTAGTCACAGCCTCATACATCAGCGATCACAAATCTTTGGTTAAACGTCTGTGCTTATGGCACACTTTTCTGCAAAGACTCCAGCAGATCTTCAGTCGTCCTCTGATTGGTTTAAACTAGGGCTGGGCGATTTTTTCGATTAAATTCGAATTTACGTTTTAAGACGATTAAATTTTGAATCAAATTGAGAAATCGCGATTTAAAAAAATATATATATTTAATACGTTATAATGTCACCAATGCGCTTTGGTTCACTCTCTGTATGAACAGGAAGCACACCAGAAGCGCCTCTCGGCGACGCACCGCACAGCACCACGCAGCGCCATAGATTTTAGAATTCTAAACAGATTTCTATACACACACACACACACACACCGGCGCCACCCAGCCACGATTTACGAAGCAGTTCTCATTTCAGCCGGCCCACAGAGCGCCATCTGATTAGTTTCATGTTAAATATCATGCGAATGTGCGCGTTTGGTGTGTGATAGTTTAAACTGTCATGTGCGCGCCGTGTCGCGGCGCTTCTGGTGTGCGACCTGCTTGACTGCCTGTTAAAGCGTGAAGTCATGTAGGATTTTACTTGATGCATGTCTGTGTGGATTGTCAAGACATTCCTTCAAGTCGATAAACTCGATCTCAACATGTATGAAGGACATAAAAGCCTGCCATGTGAAAAACCACGACGATCTTTTGGTTTGAGCACGAGTAGTGAGGGCCAGTAGCAGTGAAAATGAAAGTACCCGCCCCCATGACGTCATTTAGCGGACCTAGTTGAAAACCAGACAGATCAGCCAGCATTATTCAGAAAGTGGAGCAAAGCGCATCAAATGATCGGTATTTAAAGGGGGAAAAAAAGAAAAATATATTAAATATATTATTTTATATTAGACACACATCTGGTGCTTGTATTTGCTCCTGCTTTACGATAAACTGTATATATATATGTATACATATACATACATATATATATATATATATATACATATATACATACATATATATATATATATATACATATATACATACATATATATATATATATATATATACATATATATACATATACATATAT